CTCCCTGTCTCAAAAATAAATAAACGTTAAAAAAATTTAAAAAGAGCAGTGATAAAAATAGACTCAACTTGCATGTGTAATTTAACAAACATTAACGGAGTGTTACGCATTGGCCTTAGCGGGGCAAAGAACTGAGTCACTGCCCTGGCTGTGCCACTAAACCGTGTTACAAATGTTAGAGTGCGTACTTGTCAGAAACAGGGATCAGTCTTTTTTCTCTCTCTAGCCCTGCGACACGGGTCTTGATTCCAAGTTGGCGCTGGAGCGAGGTAAAGAATCACTATTCCTGACAAAATGGGAATTAAAGCTGGCCGGGAAGAATAGCTCCGTATGGCCCCGTGGAATTGACACATGATCGCCATCTAGTGGCAACAAAGGATTCTTGCGGAAGCTAGGGATCAGCAGACATGGACTTTCAGGCGGCCTTTCAACAAAACAGCAGTCTATCTAAAAGAGAATGAGCCTCCGAAAAACTTCAGAAGCATCAGGTAAAAGGTTAGGGTTTATGTCGTGGAGTGTTGGGAAGATGACGTCTAGGTACTCTTGTGTCTTAGGTCTCCTGCTTCAGCGTCCCATCATCAGATGCCCCACACACCTATAAACTGTGCAAAGTCCACGCTGGCCACACGTTCGTTACAGCCAAAAAGAATGAACCAAGTTCGGTATGAGGTATATACACCCACGCTTTTCTGAAATTGATGAAATGCTAATAACCTTTTGTAAGCCGGTCTGGTCAGGACCAGCTGCAAAACAAGACTAGAAAAAAATCTTCCATAAAGTTTGCCTTCGAGGTGTACTATCTTTGTGAATCATCACAAACCATCATGAGAGTGAGAGCTGCTCTGAAAATATCTAGTGAGCCTTTCAAACATCACACGCCTGTGTGTCACACGCCAAAGGCTCTCAAGGAAAGGCACCTGTAGTTGGGTTTGTAAGTACGACTTTCTGACAAACCATCACCTGCCCATCCGGGGCTCAGGGAGTAGTCAGGGAGTAGGTTTTCATGTCTCCTTCGAGTGCTAATGAGTTTTCAAAGTAGGTTCACTGTTAGGGAAACAGGTGAATGACTTGCAATCTGAGAAACAGTGGAGCCTGTGTTTATTGAATAGGGGACCGAAAAAGAATAATGAAAGGGCACCCTGGTAGTTAACCTGAAGATTCTGGGTACGTATAGATGCCTGATACCTACATGCTAAGTATAGTAACACTCCTTGTAAAATGTTGCTCCTTAGAGGGGCACCTGGGTGGCTCTGGTGGTAGGGCATGCCACTCTTGAACGTGGCATTGTAAGGTTGAGCCTAAGGTTGGGGGCACAGATTACTTTAGAAAAATCTTGACAAAATTACAAAGATATGAAACAAACGCGTAAATCTTAAAAACAATTTTTTAAACGTTGCTCTGCAGAACCAATAACAAATACTTTCACAAGACCGGTAAGAGTCCCCCTGTCTAGTTCAGTGTCAATGGGGAAAGTCGCCCGAAATAACTTTATGTTCAGATAAATGTCCTATCACCCACTGTGGAAGTATTCACGCATGATTAAATTATTTTATAATCCGTCGTCCTCCAGTGGCACACGGTAGGCGCCTCGTAAACGTGGGAAGAAAACCAAAGGTGACATGTGTGGCGGAGCCGGGGATGGCGGTGCGGGACCGCGTCATTTGGGGTGGGCCACCGCGTCCCTCCCACCGAGCTGGGCAGCGGCGGGGAAGCTGGGAGTGGCGGACGTGGTGCACCGGGAGGCCCCGATGGCTCGGGACGCGCAACCCCGCGGGCCGAGCCGCCGCTTCCTACCGGCCGAAGTAGGCGCGACCGCCGTCAGGTCTCCGGGCCCAAACGTTCCAGGACCTTGTCCCCGGGGCGCTGACGGAGCCCGTGACCTTTGGGCGGTGGGCGGCACGTGTCGCTGCCGACGCGACGGGTAGGAAGGGGCGCCGTCCCTAGCGCCTCGCATTTTACACATCAGCCCAAGTCCGGGTTCCTGCCGCTCCTCGGAAAGCGCAGTGTCAGCGTGGAGAGCCGGGAGGTGACCCCGAGGCACCCAGGAGCGCCACCGCGGAAGGCTCCAGAAGCGGGGCGTCCGCCGACGGCCCCGCGACAGCGCGCCCCGGAAGGCGCGCGGGGACACCGCGGGGCCGCGTCCCGGTCTCCCCGCTCCCGGTCCCGCGGGTCCCCGGGCTCGACGTGCGAGCCAGCCCGGCCCGGGGGCCCCCCACTCACGTAGCGCTGCAGCTTCCTCTCGGGGGGCGACTTGACGAGCCAGCCCGTGCACACGGCGTCGCCCGCGCTCATCGTGGCCGCCGCTGCCGCTTCCTCCAGCTGGGTCGCCGCGGCAGGAGGAAGTCGGGCCGGGGATGCCTGCGGGGCGGGCCCAGCGTCCCCGCCCGCCCCGGCGCCGCCCCGAGCCCCCGCCGCGACCCCCGCCCCCGGGGGGGGGGAGGGGACGGCGCCACCGCCCGCGGCCCTGACTGCGCGACGGGCGGCCGGCCGGGTCGGGGGTGGAGGGAGCCCCCTTGGAGCGAGCGCGCGGCCTCCCCCGGCCCCCACACCGGGGCGATGGCAGCCAGGGGCCCGGGCCCCGCACCTGCGGGGGTGGGGGGTGGGGAGCCGGCTCAGGGAGGAAGGAAAGCCGGGGCTCCCCACCCCTCCCCTCGACCTCCCCGCTGCCCTCGATCCGGCGCCGAGCCCAGGCTCTCGTGCGCCCCTCCCCCAAACATCATTGTATTCCGGCGAGGAGCTATTCACAAGCCCTTCGGCAATAACGACAATGAACTAACATTGATTGAGAACCGCTGCACCGCCGGTAACTCTGCGGAGCTCTCGGCACGCACGACCTCAAGGCATGAGCACCAGCACCGGGACAAATGGGCCTGCCTCAGTGGTGCTTGCGACTAAAATGGGAAACAGGACAAAGCCCACGCAACTAAGGATCACCAGATAAGGTTGACGCACTTTGCCAACACAGACGCACCCACTCTTCGGCCTGCTACCTTACATGGGACACTTCCAGAGAGTAATGAGTCTCACATGGACGCGTTCATTTGTGCTTCTATTACCACTCAGGGATTCATGGAGGAAACAATGTGCTATGCGTGTTTCAAGCGAAACCTGGTTTAATTTAGGGATGTACGTGCTCACAAACTCATTGGAAGTGTGGGAGCCCGAGCGGCCAGAGGCTACAAGGTCACCCACACAATATCACTTGTGCAAAGCTGGACTCCAGCTACTGTCGGAACTCACAGCTCTCAGAGCCCACTTAGCCCTCCCCTCCAGCGCAATCCCTGGAGTCCCTCCTGCTTTCCAAATTTCACACTCCTGTGTCATATTAAGCCAAACCCAATTGACATCCAGAAATCCAGATTCACAAAATAAACCTACTAAAACAACAAACTTGCTTCCACCAAAATAATGATGCTACCCTTCTACAAACTGAAAACCACTCCGTAAAACAGGACACCAAAAGTTCCACTGCTCGTTGTAGCCATCTCTAGGGTACAGCCATTCCTCTGCTAGCTCAGGCATTGCCCGACCTCGATGTCTTACAACCTGAAGAAAAACATTATAAAGCTAAGCTCTATCAGTCTTTCTTTCACATGCATAAAATATAGAAAGAAGATTCAAAAAGCTGCTATACACACACGCGCGCACACACACTTAGTACAATCCTTATTTCTGTAACTGGTCTTGATGCCATAATTGATCTTTATACCTTACTTCTTCCACTACCCTCTCTGTCCTCCCTTTGTTCTCCAGCCAAGGACTCAGCGGCTCAGAATTCTTTACCTTGTCAGTGACCCAAACCTTTATCCCACTGAGTCTGAGTCCTCAGCCGTCCTCTCCAGAGAGGCTATAGTAGGACCCACCCCAGAGAACCCGTTGCATAGCCCACGCATAGTCCTTCCTGATCGCGTTAACAGCAACGCTTTCCACTTCATAACCAACAGTATCAACCCTCCAAGCTGGCTCAGTAGACCCACAGTTTGCCGATTGGCTCAGTAGCATAAAGAGCCCTAAATGGCCAGATGGTGACCTCAACCTGCAATTCAGTAGAACCAATCTGATGGCCCTAGTGCAAGCATCCTTTCCTTGGGAACCAGTAGAGTTCAAAGCTGTGGGGATGCGAAGAAACCCCTGGAGAGATTAGGGGTGATAGAGAAGTCACCCCCACTTCCACCTCTTGATTCCTGAACCCAGGCATTGTGGCTATGGAAACACAGCACCATAGACTGGACACCAGTTCAAAGTATATCCCTCATCCTGTAAGACACAACCTCCACCTGTCACCAGGTGGCCGGCTGATCTCCCCAGGGAATGCTACCTTATTGGGGGCTGTCCCGACTGTGGAAAGGTTGAGTACACAGCAGTGGCAGTGGCAGTGGCTGTGACCGTATCAACTGATGCCAGTCCCTGAGAGCCTCACCATCATTGCTGATTCCCTTAACCTTGCTCCCAACATGGGGCTTGAACTCATGACCCTGCGTTCTACCAACTGAGCCAGTCAGGAACCCTGGGTGTGGAACAATTAAGTGTATTATATTATTATACGTTGCCTACGGAATTCAAAGAGCCCCACCAAATGCTGTGTCTCCTTTTGAGGTAGCACGAGGTGTGGCAACTTGTTGAACACCCAGTGTGGTCCGGACCATCTCAAAATGTTACTGGGGGTCAGGCTTTTGAGTTTTCGTGGGGTTTATCTCCCGTCCTCAGGCATATGTGTGTCAACAACCTCTTGATCACTAGGTCCAGTAAGCATAATGTCTTCATTACAATGGACCAGCATGATGTTCACCATGATTGTTGCAATAACCAAGTTCCATTCACCCTAGATGATGACAGAGAGCCAGAGCATACGTGTAGCCCCGAGGTAAGGCACTAAAGCTGTCCTTCTGTTCCTGCCAGATGAAGGCCAGCTGATTTTGATAGTCTCTGCTGACTGCAATAGAGATAAGAGCATTTGTGGGACAAATAGCCACTTGCCAGGTACCAGGGACAGTGTTGATTTGCTCTAGAAAAACAACGTCTTCTGGAATAGCAGCTTCAATTCGAGTCACAACCTGACTAACTTCACAATTACCCGCTACTCATCTCCAGGCTACCCCTGTAGATTCAATAAGGCTGTGATGTGGACATTCATTCCTGCACTGCTCTCCCTTCCAGATGGATCAAAAATTGTTTCTGCATGGCTACTCATCCTAAGTTTCTAGGGAGAAATGACCTGTTTGTACTACAACTTTTATTTTCCTTTCATCAAGTCCCTTCCTAGCTTCTTTGCCCTCCAGCCTGGGGAGAGGAAATCCATTTGAATAACAAGTGGTTTTTAACACCTGGATTCCCTATTTGGCTTCCCCATTTATTATCATTTTAAAATAGGTTTGGTTTGGCAGTTCATTAAAGTCTGTAAATCTTATAACTAGAAGGATTTGTGAATATAAGTGTCCACTATCAGGAGTTTCTATTTCGATTATGTGACGATGAGCAGATACCCATGAATCTAACTCATTCTCTGTGAAAAGAGAAAATTTGAAAAGAAAATGCCTCTCCAATTTCTGGCTCAGGGACAGCCATGGGGGGATGACTGTACCTGCATGTGAAAGGCCAACAATGAGGGAAGAGGCTCTGGGTATTCCTATATCCCCACATCCCACCTACCTCTTGTTCAAATCATCTACGTAGCACAGGAACTAAAGGCTTGGAGTGCCATGGTACAATTTCAGGTGCAGAAGCTCCCCTTTTTCCTATATGGACATCTATGAAGTGCTTCTCTGAAAGTGAAGGCAACGTCATTTCCACCCGACATATGAAATTTGACTTTAATATTACCAATGAGAGTTTCTTTCATGTCTTATGGAAAAACTCCTGATGTCATATCCATTATTGTCATATTCAAAATAGTATGAAATTATTATCACAAGTCCAAATCAAACACTTTTCAACTCATTCTTTGAGGACAGTGTTACTCTGATACCAAAACCAGAAAAAAAAGTAAAATGAAAAAGTAAAAGAAAACTACAGATGAATATGCCTTATGAATATAGACATCAAAATCCTTAGCACAGTACTAGCAAGTAGAATTCACAAAAACATAAAAAGGATTATACACCATGACTAGGTGGGGTTTACCCTAGAGATGCAAGGCTCATTCAATATATGAATGTCAATCAGGGATGCCTGGCTGCCTCAGTCTGTGGACCATGTGACTCTTGATCTCAGCACCATGAGTTCCAGCTCCACACTGGGGGCAGAGTTTATTTTAAAAAAACAAAAAAGATGGGTCACCTCAGTGGCTCAGTCAGTTTAGCGTCTGACCCTTGGTTTTTGCTCACGTAATGATCTCACGGTTTGTGAGTTTGAGCCCCGCATCCGGCTCTGCGCTGACACTACAGAGCCTGCTTGGGATTCTTTCTCTCCCTCTATCTCTGCCCCTCCCCTGCTTATTCTCTCTGTATCTCTCAAAGTAAATAAATAAACTTAAAAAATTAAAAAAAAAAAAAGAAATCAATGCAGTCCACCATGTTAACAAGCCAAAGAAGAAAAGTCACATGCTTACAGCAACTGATGCAGAACAAGCATTTGACAAAACCCAACACCAATTCGTGACAAACACTGTCATCAAAATAGGAATAGGAGAAGGGCTTCTGCAACTTGTTGAAGGACGTCCATAGAAGATGTACGACTAACATACTTAATGGTTAAAAACCAGACACTTTTGGGCCACCCAGGTGACTCAGTCGGTTAAGCATCTGACTTTGGCTCAGGTAATGATCTCACAGTTCGTGGGTTCGAGCCCCACGTTGTGCTCTGACAGCTTGGAGCCTAGGTCTGCTTCGGATTCTGTGTCTCCCTCTCTCTCTGCCCCTCCCCTGCTCTCTCTCTCTCTCTCTCTCTCTCAAAAATAAATGAACATTAAAAAAATTAGAAACCAGACACTTTTCCCTGAAGACTGGGAACAAGGCAAGAATATCTGTTGTCATTATTCTTATTCAACATAGAATTAAA